TCGTTCCTTCGTTCCTTCGTTCCTTCGTTCCTACGTTCCTTCGTTCGCTCGTTCGCTCGTTTGCTCGTTCGTTCGTGAGTTCATTTGCTCATTTGCTAGTTCCTTTGTGCATAAGAATATACTCTCAACATTTTTACTGCGCAAAGAAAAGAACATCTAGGCTCGATTAGCAGTCGCTGTTCGGAAAAAGGGCCCGCGTTCCTCCGTACGTAGATGGAGCCTACGCAACGTCACGCTACATACGAAAGGCCCCCAAACATTGAAATTAACTTAATAATAATTGACGAGATTTTTAGCTCTTTAGGTGTGAGGTTGAAGGATATAATTACTTTCATATACTGCATGCAAAATGTCTTGGAGGCCAAGAGAAAATGTGCCCATGCATTTGTAATATAATCAAGTGGTTTTTTTGCGAAATTGATTTGGAATGAATAGATGTTATTGCAGTTGAGCCTGTGGTCAAATATTCCTTTCTTCAAAAAGGCATATAAACGAGGCGAATGGGTCAATACAAAGCGGAACTGACCCTTTCGCCTAGTTTGTATGTCAAACCGTTGATAACTTCAATAACAGCTATTAATAAAACCCTTGGAATTTTCCAAAGAATACAAAATGCACCCACTCGCACGTGCATTTTGTCAGTCATTGAAAACGTTAAGAATCATGTTGCATTTATTCCAAATTTCAGTCAGTCACATGATAATCTTCACAAAAATTTTATCTATCAGTTTATGAGACGATCGGTTGTTACGACGACAGTTTTGGCCTTGCGATTCCTACCTTAGAAGGAACAGATGACATCCTGGATGGCGACTTTTCGACGAGAAGTGATCCAATTCACAAATGTTATGAAGTTGCCAAGAAACTAGGCTTCAAAGTTTTCGCTCTTCAGGCTGGTGGATGGTGTGCATCGAGTTCTACAGCCGAAAAGACATTCAACAAATATGGAAGGTCCTCGAACTGTGAAAATGATGGTGAAGGTGGACCAAATGTTAATCAAGTCTATTATATCAAAGGTATTACTCTTCAACTAAAACATTGAACTACCGGTTTATGCCAATTTGCTGCCGCAAGCACACAGAAAATCAAAAGTAGCTTTATCGTTTGTCATGTTATCTTAACTATATAAATGTGGTTATTCTAAGTATTTTAGACATGGGTTGTATGCAAAATGATTTACTGAAAGAAAACTTCTGAATCTTTTTTTCTTGAGCTGAACAAGTAAAGGGTTCAACTTTTGACTAAGCAATAAGGTCCAAAAACTATTAGTTAGGCGACTAGTTCGTCACTTGGATTTCATCTACATAAACTCTAAGGAAACTGAAATCGAAAATCATTTTGGGCAATTATTGTTTGAAAAATAAATAGCTTCAAAACTGCTTTTAATGTTACTAGATAGTTACCCGAGGCGCACGATGGGAAGGTTGGGTGTAATGCCGTCGAATATACAACGGCTTTCCTGTTTTCTGATTGGCTGTATTTTCTGTGGCACGGTATAAAAATATTTCATTTAGTTGGACACTGTTCTCTTAATAGATTATACAGGTGTTGGATGCTATAGAGACACTGCAGATCGTGCAATTCCAACACTTGAAGACACAGACCCAGTCTTGGATGGCGGGGCATCGTTTTACCAAAGGCGTCAGAACGCAATTGTCAAGTGCGCTGTCGCAGCTCGCAAAAGGGGTTTCCCTGCCTTTGCAGTTCAAAATGGTGGATGGTGTGCGGCGAGCACTAAAGCACTAGAGACCTTTAACAAATATGGCAAGAGTAGCGGCTGCCAAAATGACGGCAGAGGAGGTTATTGGGCAAACAATGTTTACGTCTTTAAAGATGAAGCTAACAGTAAGTTCTTTTTAGAGAATATAGAATATAAAACATAGCGACCTCAATAGAGTTAACGTTGAAACGGTTATGTTTAATGTTTATAATTCCAGGATCAATTTCAAACAAAAACAGTTATACGAAGATAGCTAGCAGTTGGTTTCTGTTCGACAACTGGGAAGAGGCGCACCAAGAAACAAGGACAGAACTCAAAGTCAAATCAGTTGAATGAAGGTTTTGACAAAATATTCCACGCGCAGCTTTTTTATCGGACACGTTTTTATTGGACGATTATTAACAGTTAATTTAATAGCCTTAAAATGATATAACTACGTTCAGTAAAAGACTTCTTCATCACTGCGTTTGATAATCCCCTAAAATGACCGGGAGAATTAAAATAACGTTTGTAACATTTTGCATAAGCAATCGTCTAATATAATTTTTTTTTGTATCGAGTGTTTGATAAATCTTCTCAAACAAAATACGAATTACGGAAAAAACGGAGCAGTAAAATCATTCAAAATCTAAATTAAATAAGTTCAGATACTAAAACACCGTTACTGACATTATTTCGTTTTTTTTTTTTGTAAACTTGATCAATAATTTAATGAGTTTGAGAATCTTCGTTTTTGTTCAACCTTGTAGCCGTCAGAGTTCCAGATCCAATCGCCTTTTATCCCCTGAACAGCAAGCATGCAACACGGGAAATAAAAAATCGACAAACCCAGGGTACCCCTGTTGGTGTTAGCACAGCACCTGGGCCTGATGGCAAGGCCGGTGGCTCGTACCAATTCACGGGACAGAACAACAGTTACATCGAGTTCCCAAACAGTGGAGGGTTAGATGCTCAACACTCCATCACCATGTTATGTTGGGTGTATCCTGAGAATACAGACGGACCTATTTTCAATTATAAGATAACTGGTTGGCCTTGGGCTGTTCATTTCTGGATGCATTCTGGAAAGCTGTACGGTGTAATAAGTCAACGAAATTACGTTATGATTCCAGGGTTACGCACGTTTCACGTTCTGGCGTTAAACCAGTGGCATTATGTTGGTTTTACCTATAGTCACATTACTGGTATGGCAAATTTATGGCTGGATGACCAACGAGTGGTGCACAGGAATATTGGAGCCGGCCTGTCTCTTTCAACTCAAGATAACGTTAGAATGGGCGCATTAGAAAATGATGGCCGGTATTTTAAGGGACGAATTACAGCCATGCAGATTTATGACGTTGCTTTGACCGAGGAGCAAATAAACGCAGTGGAAAACGCTGGTCAAGGTAATCATAATGATACTTTGACATGTCGCGCGAATTTGACTTTGTATGGTCGAGGCTAAAGTTAATCAGTCACTCAGCGATCATTACAAATTATTTCTGGAAGGGAGAATTGTTGGACAGGAGTATTTACAGACCTCACCTTCCCCCTCAGCTGTTGCCTGTTCAATAATTGCTTGGTTAACTTTACTTACATTCACATGCAAGAGATATTTAATAGAGACATCTCATCTCATTTGGCACTTCTTTACTGGTTCATACACACTTTCATTGCAATCGAGAGCAATGGTCTTACTTTATCTCAGAGGTCTAAAATTAGGTAGGTCAAGATAATTTTGCGTTGAGACCATACATTCTCGAAAATAGTGATAACTCTTCATTGAAATCTACACGGAACAACATTTTGGCATAATCACAAACCCATTTCCAGCGCCCTAAGACGAGTTCGTAACTTTGCCTTTTGTTGATTACAGGAAACGACAGGTGCAGTGAGATGGGCTGGGAGTCCGCCCTCAGTGGACCAGGATGGGCAAACTGCTCATTGGGAAGATACATAAGTGGAGTGTGGAGGGAAAATGATGCTGTCATTTCTTTACCTGATGGCATCGATAATATTAAAAAGGGGCAGTGCTGTAGCCCTCCACACGAATACAAAGATGATACTCCTGTTTGCCAAACACTGGATTGGAAAACTTCATTAAGCAGGTCAGTTAGAAGTCTTACCAAGCGATTTGCAGTGAGCAAACCTTTTTCTTTTTGCGCTTTTACACTAGCTATAAGGAACGTTAAGAGATCACAGGGCCTTCAACTGGCTCTCTGTTCTTTTTAATTTGTTAAAGAACGTTACACGATTATCTTCAACCAATAGCAGAATTAAGTAAACAATAACAAACTTATAAGTCTTTTGTAAGGAACGTCAAGAGGCAGACTACCAAACCTTCAACTGGCTCTCTATTCTTTCAGATTGGCTAGAGAACGCTAGCTGCGCGTGTTTTCTTGTTTGACAAATGTCTGCAGAGCTAAGAAAAGGCAAAGCTAGACAAACTCTCTCTTCTTTTTCGCTATCTGCTTTTGCGCTGTTTCACAGGATGATAGCATAGAATAGAAGCGGACAACGCATCATTTAAAAAAATATATATCAGTCTAGCTATTCCTCTGTCAGAATCATTCATGTTTATTTTGAGTTTATTTTAACTTTTTTGGTCTTTCCCTTACCGCTATTCTGGGTTGCTTTTCCGGGATTTCGCTTCAATTATGGGATTTCGCTCTTTGAAACGTGGATGACGTAACGTTGACATCAAGTGTTTGCCTCCTAACAATGTGGTTAGCATTTGATTACGGTCCAGTTTCGGTTCTCGCATTGCTTAGAGGTTCTTCAGCTGAAAAATCAACATTTTCAAATTCCAATTCGACCAGGATAGAGGACACGCTTTATTCTGATCTCACAGTGCCTCTCCCCACCCAGGTGTATAAATGGGTAGCAGCGAGCTTAACGCACTGGGTAACCCTGAGATGGATTAGCATCCCATCCAAGGTGGGGGAGGGGGGTAGTAGAAATAGTCCTAATCGCTCCATGCTACAGAAACCGGAATAAGCTCCGGCCTGATGGGCCACTTGCAGGCTCGTATGCAGACTTAACCTACCTACCTAACTACTTGAAAACGATGATTCAAATAGATAATCTCGTATCATTATTTTATAATTCAGAAACAACAGATGGGCTTCCTGTCCTGGCGGGTATTTTCTCCAAGGAATTTATCGCTCAAACGAGACTTGGCTTCACAACATCGAAAAAGCATTGTGCTGCAGACCCAGAAACTTCAAAAACATGACCAAGGATTGCTACGATGAAAATGTAAGGAAATCACTAAATAAGAAAGGCTGGAGTAAGTGTCGAGACTGGCACTATATGATGGGCGTGTACAAAGGAGACTGTGACAA